GAGAGAGAGAGAGAGACAGAGAGAGAGAGAGAGAGAGAGAGAGAGAGAGAGAGAGAGAGAGAGAGATAGACAGAGAGACAGACACACACACGAGCACGTACGACGTGTTCTAGGTCTGGCGTGAGGATGAAGACAGTGCCTCCCTTGCCGGCAGCAGCGACGTGTGTGCCCGCCGGGTTGAACTGACAGCAGCGCAGTGGGGACTGGAGCTCGCTCGTCTTCACACATGTCGGGGCATCAAACGCCCACAGCCGCACACTCCCATCGTCGCTGAAGACATACACGCACACATACATACACACATGCATGGCAGGGAGGATTGAGGGGACGCATGAGTATGCATGTGAGCGAATGAGAGTGGATGTGTGTGTGTGTGATGCATCTGCATGTGCATGCAGCGGCTGCGCGTGCACACGGCACATGATAGACTTGGCCATGTCCATCAGTGTGGGACAGCGCCGTCCACAGCAGCGCACCTTGCTGTGACAAACGTCCTTCCGTCGGGGCTGATGGCGAGCCCCCACAGCTCTCCCGGGCGGTGGCCCTTTCGCACGTGGCACGTGGCAATGGCAGATGTGTATGTGTATGTGTGCATGCATATGAAGATATGTTTAAATGTTTGTGTGCGAATGCATGTGCGTGTAAGTGTAAGTGCGTGTAAGTGTATGTGTGCGTGTGCGAGTGAGTGGATGTGTGTGTGTGTGCGCGCGCACGTGTGAGCGGATGTAAAGCATGCGCGCGTGCATAAATGCAACAAAATCATGGTCGCGTGTGGGTTGTTCGTCCATTGAAGGGGGTTCAATGGGGCCAGAGCGCTGATAATGGCAGTTAAGCATGTCCTCGGTATCGCACCTGTGTGACGCAGGTTGGGTTCATCTTATCGCTCCCCTTGACAATATACAGTTGGCTGTCCTTTGTGCCCACCAGGATCTTGTCGCCCGCCCAGCACACCGTCCGCAACGTCACAGCTGTTGACACACACACACACACACACACACACACACACACACACACACACACACACACACACACACAACCACGATTGCGTGTGAGAATGGATACACGAGAGGCGATGGCGAAATGTGCGTGCGTGCGTTCCTGTTTGTCTTGGTGTGGTAGATAATGCACACACATGCACACACACACACACACACACTCTCTCTCTCAAAGCAACACAACAAAGCGGCAAAGACACGCCAGCCACACACCACTCTCTTGCAGGATGGCGTTGATGTCCAGCTCAGCAATCGGTGACAGATCAAGCTCCCACAGACGCATGAAGCCGTCCTGTGGCACCATGAGTGTTGGTGGTGGTGGTGGTGTTGTTGTTGTTGTTGTTGTTGTTGTTGTTGTTGTTGTTGTTGTTGTTGTTGTGCAACACGCGACCCCGTTTGATGAGGGTGAGTGACGCGCAAATACGGTATGGTTGGTGCAGTGCAAGTGAATTGCCAGCTTGGTAAGCACGACAGCTGAAATTACAAAAACAAACAAACAAACAAACAAACAAACAAACAAACAAACAAACAAACAAACAAACAAGCACACACACACACACACGCATTCAAGCACACGCACTTTTCCTCCGGTTGCCAGGCCATTTGGCGTGCAGTCCATCACAAACACGGGGCCCTTGAGCACAGATCACAATGTGAAGCATGCAGCTGGTGAATCAATTGACCTCCGCATGTCGCTGGCGCGTGCATCTAAGATGGGTACAGGTGCTTGGCCAGCCAACAAGCCGCAGCAAAATGCGCGCAACACGCCACGCCACATCACGCCATCCAACCACACACACACACACACACGCGCGCGCGCGCACACAAACACACACACACACACACACACAACACGAGTACAGAGGAACACACTTGGTGGCATTGGACGGTGTTGAGCGGGGAGCCATCCTTGGTTTGCCAGGCCGTAACAGCACCGCCAAGGGAAGACGTAAACACCCGCTCTGTCTTGCTCTCCGGCGGCTCAAAGGCAAGGCACAGCTGCGTATCGGTGTCACGCATGCCGTCAAAGGTGCCAGTGCGGGTGGTCATGGTGTTTCCGGCCAGCGTCCAGAACTTGACGTGATCAACGCCGCAGCTGACAATGCGGTTGCCCTTCCAGGGGCTGATTTGCGCATCAAACACCTACAAGCACAGAACAGCAGGGCAGCAGAGCAGCAAGACGTGTCTGGGTGAGTGCCGTGTTGTCGTGGCTTTCCCCTTTCTTACTGCTTCTTCGAACCACGCCACAGTCACACAAACGGCCCATGAACACGCCCTCCTTGCTCTCTTTTCTCCCTCCCATTCATTGGAGTGACTTACGCGCTTGTTGTGGCCCGGGGTGACAGCGAGAGCCAGGCCCTTTGTCCAGTCCCAGACAACGATGTTGTGACTTGATTCCAGGCCGCATGACACCAGAATCTGGTCATGAAAACGGCCACAAAGCAAGCAAGCAAGCAAGCAAGGTCATGTCAGTGGTGCAAGCCGTACCGCTGGTGCAATGACACAACCAGCTCTGCACGCACGCACGGCAAGCACAAACAAACATCCTGCACCTTGTAACAGCGCCACCCCACTCACCCACACCCACGCCAACGTCGATAGTTGCAAAGGCATATCCACACACCGTTCTCAAAACCACACTAGCGAGCAAGCAAGCGCACCTTGGCTTGGTTGCCGGTGCCAAAGCGGATGGAGGCGATGCCCAACTTGTGGTGGCCTTTGAGCATGGCTTTGGTTTCCATGGACTCTGTGTCCCAGATGCAAATGAAGGGCTCCGCACCCACCTGGCCAGTGGCAGCTGTCACATCATCTTCATGCAGCGACAACCTAAATCGCACACACACACACACACAACCCAACACAACACAACACACATACACACATGTCAGAGGTTGTGACAGGTCCACAGTGCAGCTCTGCGTGCAAAACATGGACATGCAAGCGAGCAAGTAAGCAGGATGGCGTTCCACAATCTCACGAGATGATGTCGTCGGTGTGCTCGTAGTAGAAACGCTGCTCGCCATCAGTCCACACGATGGCCAAGCCGGCGACAATGTACACGACGGAGTTTGTGTCATTGGCAAATGTGGCCGAGTGCCTCACTTGATGGCCGCGGTACCCATGCACGCGGTGCAGCCGCAGCTGCTGCTCCGGCATCCCAGACATGCTGGTGGTGCTCGTGTTTCAAGGAGCCCTCCCCGTGCACGGCCAACGGAGTGTGGTCGATCTGAGATCAGTGACAGGCAAGCAAGCGAGACAAGCAGGAGACGAAGGTCGTGGTGGTGTTGTTTGTTCGAGCGCCAGCGCAACTGGTGGCCGTTTCAAGGAAATTTACTGAAAATCATCCAACACAATTCAGCACGCTTGTCCTTCCACACCACAAACAACAAGGACAATATCTCTCCTTCTCCACCTCTCGGCACAGTGCGCCAGCGGTGCTGCCAACACCACCAACCCACACAACACCACTGTGTCGTGTAACCCATGTAATGGCATTGTAATGTAACCACAGCAAAGCAAAGCAAAGCAGAAGCAAAGCAAAGCAAAGCAAAGCAGAAGCAAAGCAAAGCAAAGCAAAGCAGAAGCAAAGCAAAGCAAAGCAAAGCAGAAGCAGAAGCAAAGCAAAGCAAAGCAGAAGCAAAGCAAAGGGAAACAACACCAACTTCACAGCGCGGTCCCCTGCTTTTCTCCCTCACTCTTCTCTCTCACAGCTGCTGCGCAAGGTAAGCGTCAACAAGATCCGCCAAGCGCACAAAGTCGGCCTGCTCAATGTACACCTGTGCAGACAGGCGCACCCACCACGTGTCCTGGTCAGGGTCAGCCGAACACCCGTCTTGGTTGCCGGCGTTGCCGTCCTCCTGCGCACTGCTGCTGCTACCGCCACCATAGCCCGTCAGGAACGACACCGTGGAACCGAGGTGATCTGGGTTGATCCAGCGGTCACACGCTATCACTGCCGCATCGCCATCACTACCAGCACCACCACGAACATCACCACGACTACCACGACCAGCGCCAGCGGTGCCAGCGGTGGCAGTGCCGCACGTGCAGTCTGGGTTGCGTGTCATGCGGAACACGACAATCTGCACGTCGTGGTTCTCGATGAGCCAAGGCGTCAGGCCCTGTGCGAGGGCGGCATCTGTGGTGGGCAAGCGGACGGTGGCCATGGCACTGACCATGCTGTGCGGCGCCGCAGCTTCCGTGCCCCAGCGGCCGACAAGGTAGTCTGTCGCCCAGCGCGCGAGGTTGGTCATGTACTCACGCACGGCAGCGTCGCCGCCAATGTTCTTGCGAAACGCAAAGCCGGCCGTCACGCTGGCAAAGGGCGTGTAGTCGCGCGTGCCCGTGTAGAGGAAGTCACGCATGTAATCGTGGAAGCCAAAGTCTGAGGAGACGACGGTGGGGATGGTGTTGCGTTGCAGGCTGGGCCGCGTCCACAGGAAGGCAGATCCCTTGGGCGTGTACAGCCACTTGTGGCCGTTGCTAACGTAGAAGTCCACGCCGACGGCGGCAAGCTGCGTGATGTTGATGGGGATGTTGCCGAGGGCGTGTGCCCCGTCGATAAGCACGTGCTTGACGCCGTGCGCCTTGGCCACCTTGGTCATCTCCACGATGGGCAGGATGACCGCAGGCGTGCTGACAATGTGGGAGATGGAGAGGATGGTGGGAATGCTGTTGGGCTGCTGGCGCAGGGCGTTGTCCAGCAGCTGCACCACCTCCTCTGCGGACTTGACGGGGAACTGCACTGGGATCTTGCGCACGCGTGCGCGTCCGGCTCTGCCAAGCACCTCGGCCGTGTTGGTGACCATCGGGTAGGCGCAGGAGAGGAAGGCGACGGTATCATTAGCGGTGAGCGGGAAGGAGCGCAGTACGGCATTGACGCCCGAGCTGGCGTTCTCCACGAACACGACGTCGTCTGCGTTTGCACTGACGTACGCCGCCAGCTGTGCGCGTGTTGCATCCAGCAACCGCTGGTATCCGCCTATCGCAGTGTATGTGTGAGTGAGTGGGTGAGCAAGTGAGTGAGGGAGTGTGTGTGTGTGAGCGAGCGAGTGAGTGAGCGAGTGAGTGAGTGAGTGAGTGAGTGAGTGAGTGAGTGAGTGAGTGAGTGAGTGAGTGAGTGTGAGTGAGTGAACAAAACGGAAGGTCCACTGTGTGTGAAGGCACTCCTTGGGCTTGCTGTTCTGGTGAGAGCATCACCGCACCTCTGAACCAATCGTCGGGGCGTGCTTCCATTTGGGTGGTCAGCTGTTCCTGGTAGGCACGCACGGACTTGGGCGTCGCACCGAAGCTACCATGGTTCAAGTCTGCGCATGCATGTTCAGTGTGTGTTGTGTATGTGAGTCAGAAGCAGGTGCTGTATCCTTGCAGTGGAGTCACCGCACAGCGCAACGTGCGCCACATTGCATCGCACCGCACACCACAGCACGCAACAAGCAGCAGCAGCAGCAGCACCATGCACTGGCCATCCGCGCTCACTGACAACCACCTCCTAGCCTTGCAACAACCCAACACCTCACGTCACATCGCACAGCCACGGGTCCGTGTGTCACGTACTCAGAAAGCCTTCTTGCAGTTGAAAGTGTTCCAGCATGCCGTGGCCAAACGCAGGCGCAGCGGTGGCGTGGCTTGATGTGCTGGTGCCCACGCACCCGCAGCAGCCAAGCACCACCACTGTCACTGTCATCAGCGTGAACACACGCACCATAGTTGCTGTCGTGAATGAGCGTTCGTTGGAGGAGAATGGGAAATGACCTTTATTTGGGAGGCAACCACAAACATGACTGCTCATCATCACACGTCAGTGTCACGTCTCACAAAACATCATCACGCCACAACAGCAACATCATCATCACATCAGCGCTGCTACACCTCTGTGGCGCGCACGTTGGCAGAGCGCCGTCTCGGTGCAACGCGGGCGCCCGACGCCTGCCTGCTCGCCTGACTCATTCTTCGCGGAACACCGCTGTACCGTTGCTGCTGCTGCTGCTGCTGCTGTTGTTGGGGTGGGTGGCTGTGGTGTTTGCGGAGTTGCACTTGCTCATACCCCTGCTGGTGTGGACGCGTGGGCACAGCTTGTTGTTGTTGTTGTTGCTGCTGTTGTTGTTGCTGCTGCTGTTGCTGCTGCTGCTGTGCCCTGCGTACGCCACGCTCCGGCGATGGAGACGACTTCTTCACCTCGTCAATGTCAATCAGGTCGTCGTAGCTGCGCTGCTGCCCTTTGCGGAACAAATCACGCGACGGTGATGGCCTCCGCCTCGCTTCACGCTGCTGCTGCTGCTGCTGCTGCTGCTGCTGCTGTGTTTGATGCATCTGCTGTGCTTGCTGTTGATGTGCTTGCAGCTGCTGTGTGGGATGCGTTCGTGTTTGGTGGTATTGCTGTGGCTGTTGTGGTGGTTGTGATGCTGCGCTGGGTTTGTCGCGCGACTGCGGCCGGCTGCTCAACACGGCGCGCTTCTCCGTTGTCCTGACGGCGCTGCTTGCAGGCAATTGTGTTGGAGACGTAAACGCGTCATCGACTGTGCCGGCGAGGGACCGTTCAGGGGTGGTCAGCATGGCCTTGTCCATCAGCTGCATAAACTCCCGTTCCCACGAATCACCCCCGTCATCATCATCACTTGCGTATTGTTGTTGTTGTTGTTGTTGTTGTTGTTGTTGTTGTTGTTGTTGTTGTTGTTGTTGTTGTTGTTGTTGTTTGACGTTGGCAGCAGCATGCTGGGCGCGTGGCTGACGCTGGTGCTGGTGCTGGTGTAGGTGGTGTGAGTCGTGCACCTCCTCGTCGAGAACAGGGTCGGCCGCATCCCCAACATCAACGTCACCGCCATCGTCGTCCTCGTCATCGTCCAAACCGCTCAGCACGTCGAGCGTGACAGTGTCGCTTGGCGTGCCCGCGCGCCGCAACTGCGCTGTTCTCCCCTCTCTTCGCATCGTCGTCTCCTTGTTCATTTGTGACAGCAGCTGTCAACACATGCCCAGCAATGGTTGCGCGTGTGCATAGGGCACGCAGACATGCAAGAACGTGAGGTCTGTGCGCAGAACAACATTTCAACAACACAAAACGAAACGCACGGAAGCAAACCAAACAAACCAAGCGAAACAAACAAAGCGAAACAGAGCAAGTCCACACATACACATATTTACGCAGACACATACAAAAATACGTACACATACGCATGCAAAAGCACGAGACATGTCCTTGCTCTCACCTGCTCAAGACCTTCGTCGACGCGACCGGGCTGTCGGAGCGTGCCGAGTGCGTCTGAGGACGCGGGAGTCGACGTTTCTGAGGACGTGCTTGGCTGTGAAGGCTGGTAGGCCGAGCGACAAAAGCACTTTGGGTGAGACAGGATAGTTGGAGAGCAACATGCAACTTGATGGGCTCCTACACGACACACAGCAACAACAAACACACGAACAAACACGCACGGACAGACAACAAACAAACCGTCACACACACACAGACAACAAACAAACAGGCACACACACAGACATACTCACACAGACATACGCACACACGCACACACACACACACACACAAGCAAAACGGCGAGCGATACAAACACCCCTCTTCCCCCCCCCCCCAACCACGAACCTCACTGTCGTCGGTGTTGTGAACGACTTCAATTGTGAGTGCCTTTGACGTTTTCCTCTTAGCACGCGTACGAGGGGAGCGGAACAGGTGCAGGTGGGTGCCTCGTCGTTTCTTGAGGTCCTCAATCTGCCGTTGCCACTCCTCGTGCCGCTTTCGTCCAGCAGCAAGCTCCCGCAGATCCGCCTGAATACCAAAAGCAACACAAACCAAACACAAACCAAACCATTGTGCAAGTGTCAATGCATGCACTAGGGCACGTGATGATGGTGTCATCGCACGTATCCTTGGATCTTTGATTGACATGTTAACTTCATGACGTCGCACACACACGCACGCACGCACGCAGGCACAAGCACGAAAACACATGTACACGCACGCAAGCACGCACAAGCACGAAACACACACACGCACGCAAGCACGCACAAGCACGAAACACATTCACGCACACACGTACACACACACACACACACAAGCACGAAAATACATGCACGCACACACGTACACACACACGTACACACACACACACACACACACAAGCACGAAAATACATGCACACACACGCGCGCACCACGAGATTTCCCCAGTGCTCGTCTGAGTAGTCGATGGCCAAGAGGCGAGGTTCCAGAAATGGTTCAGAGAGCAGCCTGTCCTGTGTCTCGTCGCCAAGGTCGTCAAAGTTGGGGATCGACGCCAGCGTCTGGTTCATGGTCTTGACAATTTCCTTGTGCATGGCGCCTTGGTCAGTGAAATACGCATCCAGGCGCCTCTGCGTCACCCGCTTCCCAGGCATCCTTTCTCTCCCTGTGCAAGACCTCTCGATGACCGCCGGCACAAACAAGGACGCTCCCTCCCGCGTATCAGGCAAGCAGGGCGGGCGGTTCTTCTTGGTCGGCGTCGTTGACAAGCACGCAACGAGGAGCTGTGCTGCTAACTGATCTTGGCTGTTTGAGGCTGCGGAAAAATGTTGAAATACACCACAAATCGCCAACAACGGCCATCAAAATTTTCGCCACAACAACACCACCACACGACAAGCACGACAAAAGCACAGTGACCTTGTGTGTGTGTGTGTGTGTGTGTGTGTGTTTTCGTTTGTGGTTCCCGCTTCCACCAACTTTTATTCGTCTCCCCCGCCCCCCATCTACGCCCCCCCCTTCTCCAAACTGTCCCCCCCTCTCCCCACCACCCCATAATGAGTGTACCGAGTGACCGCGGTCGGATTGTGGTGGGTGGCGAGGACGGCGAGGAGGATAACGTGTATGATGTGGAGTATGGACTGGGCACAACAGAGTTCTTCGTGCGCATCGAGCACACGGTGACCACGGAGGTGTGGGCAAACACATTCTCGCGCGAATACATTGAGCAGCTGACGCACAAGGCTGGCAGCTTCAAGGAGCTCAGCGTCTTCTACCGCATGTTGGCCAAGGGCATCGACCGCCAAAGCCCAGAGGTCGTCAGCGTCGCCCTGTACGACCAGCACGACTTGCAACAGCTACAGAAGACGAGGAGGCTGGGCGAATCTGTGGCAGCAAACGGCACCGAGGCACACAACAAGTACCTCGTGCTCACATACCGCACCGAGTACGACCGCGTGCAATACCCCCTCCCTCTCCTGTATGCAGGAGAGCCCGATCCCAAGGTCCTCATCAAGAAGATCCGGCACCTGCAAGACCTGCATGGCAAAGGGCGCCGCCCTCCTGCACCAGCCACAGCGATACCATCGTCTTCTTCGCCATTGACGACGCACAGGGACAGGAAACGCCACGAGATGTCATCACCCTCCCCCGACGACACCAGGCCCACTTTGTCTCCCGCTCACCGACCGCCGCCTCAGCCAACACAACGACCGCGTCAACCGCAGCAAGAACAGCAGCAGCAGCAGCAGCAGCAGCAGCAGCAGCAGCAGCAGCAGCAGCAGCAGCAGCAGCGCAGTGGCAAGGGTATGCCTGCGCCAGCGTCTTCGCCGCGCCGAAACTTGCGGCGAGAAGCAGCAACCGGCTCCCCCTTGCGACAGCATCGGCTGCGAGGCGCACGTGCTCGGACCACCCACGACAACGGCGACGCTGACGGCACGCCGCTGGACGTGTCTGTGGCAGACGTGACCATGCTCACGCAGACGATTGTGGACCTGCGGGAAGAGAACGAGCGGCTGCAGCGGCGCATGCGAGCGCTGGAGGACACCAACAAGCAGCAACGGCAGCAGCTACACCGCAAGCAGCACACAGCACAGGGCCAGGCGGAGTCGGACGCCAGTGCTGCCGGTGGCAAAGGTGGAGACCAGACCGCCGAGCTGAACCTGCTGCGGCACATTGTGACCAACCTGGAGCAAGACGTGGTGGAGCAGAAGAACAGGTTCCACCGCAGCCTGCAGAAGAAGGCGGCGAAAATCGCAGCGCTGGAGACGGAGCTTGCGGCGGTGCAAGTGGCTGAGCGAAACCTGCGTGTCAAGTGCAGACACCTGACCAACGAATTGGCCGCCAGGCGTGGTGGCGGCGGCAGCGGCAGCGGTGGAAACGGCACACCAGGCACGTCAACGCCACGCACACGGTCCCGTGTCGCACGTGCCAATGCAGGGCGGCCAGCTGCGTCGACAGCGGCAACGGGTCGGAGTGGCAGCCTCACACGCGTCCAGAGGCGTGGTAGCCCGTCAGCTGTCGGTGCGAGGCGACACAGACCCGGCTCGCGCTCACCTGCAGCAGCTGCTGGCGCTGGCCGCATCGGAGGGGCCCAGCGGCGGCCGTCCCCTGGGGGCAGAAGGAGTGGTGGAGGACTACGGAGCAGAAGTGCATCGCCCACGCCCCGCTTTGATCCAACTGCATACGTGCGCGCGAGGGAGGAGAAGCTTCGGGTACGTGGTGAAGAAGGGATAGGGCAAGCAAGTGTGAAGTGTGAAGGATATACAAAATTGAGCTTTCATTCTTCCATCCACACGTACACGCGTTGTCACTTGCGCACTTGCATACTCACCGTTCCTCATGTGTGCGTGTGTTTGTGTGTGTCGTGTGTCGTCTGGTGTATGTATGTGTGTCGTCTGGTGTTTGTGTGTGTGCTTGTGTGTGTGTGTGTGTCGTGTGTGTGTGTGTCGTGTGTCGTGTGTGTCGTGTGTTGTGTGGTATCTTATTGCGCCTTTGTCCTGTGTGCGTGTGTCTGCCAGGCTGCACGTGCAAAACGTGAGGGGAAGCGATCTGTGTCGCGCGGGCGGAGCGCATCGCCCGGTGCACGGCCACGGCGACCCACTCTCAGCCCAGGTGGGCCGCGTGTGCGAAGGGAGGGCAGCCTTGGCCGAAATGGCAGCGGCAGCGGCTTTGGCGGCACTGCTGGCTCCCGCTCACGCACGGGAAGTCGGAGTAGAAGCAGGGGGCGAGACGTGACGAGTGTGGCAAAGCCGGCACCACAGCAGCAGGAGCAGCACGGTCGCCTACGTGGTCGAAGCAAATCTGCGGAACGCATCATGCAGCGTCCATCCCGGTATGTGTGTATGAATGTGTGTGTGAATGTGTGTATGTGTGTGTATGTGCGTGTATGTGCGTGTGTGTGTGTGTGCATGTGCGTGTAAATGTGTGTGAATGTGTGTCAATGTTTGTGTTTGCGTGTACATGTGTGTGAATGTGTGTGTATGTGTGTGGCTTACTTGTTTGCGGTGGGCTTGTTATCCAATCATCCCTGGCAATTGCAGGTGTATGTGCTTCGTGGACATCAAGCGAGCAATGTATGTATAGCACACGCAATGTCCACTTTTCGTGCTCATATGCAATGCTGTGCGCATTTCCTTGTCTTCTAGGCGCCATGTGTCTCGCTCGCCACAGAATGCAACGCCACGACGACGACAACAGCAGCTACAGCAGCCACAGCCGCCGCCAGAGGCGGATCGGTCGTATTTCAAGACTGCAGCCGAGATTGAAGACATTGATGCTCGACTGGCTGCCCTGAGCAAGTACCTGCAGCGAAGCCACAACTAGCCTTGACCCCGCACTCGCGCGCACACTCGATATTGATCCCCATCTTCGATCCCTCCACTTGGTGGCACACCGCTTTCTTCCTTCTTCCTGACGCCTTGCCTTGCTCGATCCACCCTCCTCCTCTCCCATCAGTGCTGTGTGTCGACAGGTGTCCTCATCTGTTGTGGATAGCACAGACACTTTTCTCCGAACCTCTGGCAGCCGTAGCTGTTCTTGGCTGTACATACTCTTCTTGCCAGTGTCCCGGATTCGATTTCCGTTGATTTCCGTTTACCCTCGCTTCCACCTTCCCCTTTTGCTTCTTTCCATTTCATTGGGACCCTTGTTTATTTTACACAGCAGCGGTTTGTGCTGCCACCGAAAGCGTCGCGTACGCCCTCTGCGCGGTTGGAGCCTTGTGTTCTCCAATATTTCTTCCTGTACACAAAGCAAGCACAGCGTCTTCGCAGACACACAAGCACAAAGCGCAACAACTCCTGTCGACAAACACCCAGAATCAAGCAGAAGAGAACAAGGGGCATTCATCACACCAACTGACATGCATGAAGAACTGGTGCGTTGTTGTCGTCATGTCGCCTCAAGCTCAAGAAGACAGCGGTCTGCTGGCTGGTGTTCTGTTGTTGTTGTTTTGGTTTTGCGTTTGTGCAGTGCACAGTTGAGAAATTTGTTTGGCATTTTCACGACTATTCCGCGGCTAAGTTTGGCTTGCGACGATGAACGACCACGAACAAGCAAGGTGACAAGCTGGGTTTCGCGGGAAGAGTGCGGGTGGTGGTGGTGATGGTGTGTGCGTGAGCGGATGGGAGGTGGAGGGGTGGGAAGGAGAGGAGAGGGATGACAGCGGATGAGGAGAGGGAAAGGTGCAGCTGAATGCAAGTGGCAAGGTGCCTGGCTTTGGTGCTGCTCGACAGTGGACTGTGTGCAGTCAGTGGGGATTTGACCAGATTTGAGTGG